ATCGATGCAAAAGAGATACATCGACTGGCTGCCACCCACATGACCCTAACCGGAGCCGGGTACACACCGCAAGTGAGGTACATGCCCTTAACAGGAACCGAACCCGGGACTCTGGTCTGCAGGCCAATGCTCCAACTGCAGAGCCAAACCAGCCAGGGCGAGAATAATTTTCTTTTCATAGAAAAGTTTAGCAAATTTATATTTGTCAATATAGCAGATATATTTGGTAATAGCTGGTCTATATCATTTAATTTTATTTTCTATTTTTATACCTTAAAAATTTTTTTCATTATATTACCTATTTTCCTTGCTTGTTTTTATGGATTATTCTGAGATTTTTGTTCTAGTGGTTGTCCTTATAATTACAGTGTCATATTAAGCCTGTAGTCTTCTAAGAAAGTGGTGATGGTTCCCTACTATAAGCAGTGATACAATTAATTTCATATTAATTCTAAAATAGAGACACTGTGACTATGTTACATAGTCTCTTTTATTCAATGTAGACCTCTATTGCATTGTGCCCTCAAAGGAAGAATTAATCATTCAGCCAGGAAGCTTGGAACTCAGTCAGTATTATTATCAGTAAGTACGATGTCAGAAGAGGCATTGTGAGTTTTCTTAGAGTAGATTGTTAGCCTTTAACAAGGCTCTTTCTGCCTATAAAAATTATGGTTTCTGAAGTCAGTATAGATCATAAAATTGGTAAGCTGCCATTTGTTTGGTCACAATTGAATGTTAAAATTTGGTCAGAATCTTTGTAGGTGGTCTGTTATTCAACACCAGAAAGTTACCATGTTGACATTAAAAGATATTATTGGATCTGAAGTCCCACCCCCCTTTTTAGTGGGCTTCACACTTGTTGAGAGTTTTAGCACCATTTAAAATTTCAAAAATAATATATTTGGCAACAAAGAGGCGTGTCACATATGAAAGAATTTTTTAAAATTAGAAATCTATGTTAAAATAGTCCAGCGTGGCATACCTCAAGTAATGACGGAGAGTCATATCCTGATGTTAGTCCTCCAACCAGAACAGAAGGGGAGTGGCCACTATGGCCCAGGGAGGAGCAGACAGCCTCTGTAGAGGGTGGGAAACAGAAAGTCATATTTTAGATTTAGTTATATGACCATAGCTAACTTATTAAAAAAAATTTTTCTTTTCTGCCCAGCCTGTGTGGCTTGGAGGATTGAGCGTTGTCCCATGGATTGAGAGGTCCCGGTTCAATACCCAGTCGGGGCACATGCCTGGGTTGTGGGCTCGAGGGCTCGATCCCCAGTAGGGGACATGTAGGAGGAAGCTGATTGATGTTTCTCTCTCACACTGATGTTTCAATCTCTCTCTTCCTTCCTCCCTAAAAAAATCTATAAAAACATATTTAAAAAAATATTCTAACTAAAAAAAACACATTTTTTTTCTAATCCTCACCCAAGGATAGAGTTGTATTGATTTGAGAGAGAGAGAGAGAGAGAGAGAGAGAGAGAGAGAGAGAGAGAGAGAGAGAAACATCGATTGGTTGCCTCCTGTATGTGCCCTGACTGGGGGATTGAACCTGCAACCTAAGTATGTGCCTTGACTGGGAATCGAACCTACAACCCTTTGGTGTATGAGACCTTGGTCCAACTAACTGATCTACCCAGCCAGGGCCATACTTGACTTTTTAATATTTTTCTTTTTCTTTTTAAATTGATTTTAGAATGAGTAAGGGAGAGAGAGAGAAATGTCCATGTGAAAGAGATACATCGATCCATTGCCTCCCACATGTGCCCCAACTAGGAATCGAACCAGTTACCTTCTGGTGCACTGGGTGATGCTCTAACCAACTGAGCCACCTGGCCAGGGTGACTTTTTTATTTCTTTTGGTGAAAAGATATTTACTGTCCTTCTCTAATAGAACAGCTGAAACATAGATTATCACTGTAGAAGATTTACATTTCTACTTTGTGTTCTTTCTTAGGATGGCTGCCAGTATTGATTGTGTAGACTAGTGTTTTTAGTTTGCAATTTGCCTGTGAATTACCCCTGCAAAGCCTGTTAAAAATGAAAATTCTTCCTTCCCCCTAGCATCCTGCTGAGTTTAGGTTGAACACATTTGAAGTGTGGAATCTGTGCTCTCACTGTGCGTTGCACGTGATTCTGATGTAGGTATTGCTCAGACTACAGTTGGAGGAAATCAAGATGGACAGTTCTGTGTTTAATGTAGAAATTTACTAAACTCTAGTTTGACAACTGGTTGGATATCACTCATTATGTATACAAGTGTTTCAACTTTCTTCAATTTAAGAAACCCAGGAAAACACAGATACGAGATTTTAACTCCAACCGGTTTGCGAAAATAATTGTGTACAAGGATGTTTAATATACAGATTGCAGAAGAATGAATTCAACAGTGTTGTAATACTTCCATGAAAGCCTCGACAATAACTGTCAAGTCCATTTTATCAGATTTAATGGGTTTCTAAATCCTTATCTGCTTATCATACAAAACATTAATTAGAACAGTAATTGAGTTACCAGCTGCCTCATGTTCACTCTAGAAACTTATACAAAAAACACTGTGAAGCTCATGTAAGGTCATTCATTGCTTTTTGAGTTGCTAAATAATAACTTTGCTGTATAGGCTTCTCAAAATCCAGGTATTAAGCGAGTCTGTAGCAAGATAAAAATTGATAAGAGATTTGCAAGTTAGTCTGACACTCTCTCCAGTGGATTAAGGTGGAAAAATCCTTCTTCAGCACCACAGATGGGAGAAAATCCTCCCTCTTAGATTTCTCCCTGAATCCACTTATGCCTGCCTAGTCTTGTAGTAGAATGGAAAGAGCCTTGGGAGCCAGGTATGCTGGCACAGATTTCCTGGGAAAAATTAAAACACTAAGAATTCAAGTTTACAACTTTATTTGAGTAACACTGGAACATCATGACAAGAATATCATATCCCAGGAAAGCAAGAATCATTCAGCATCAGAAGATATGAATAATAAGAAATTAAGTGAGAGAAACTACATAATCATTTTAACACATGTAGTAGACAGAACATTAGGTAAAATTTAATAATCCTTTATACTAAAATTTTATTTTTTGCCCAAACTTGGAAGCTTACCAAACCTTAGACTAATAAGTCATTTATTCCAAAACCTACAGCAGATGTTATACTTAGGAGGTGACATTGTAGAAGCATTCCCATTAGTGTCAGTAAGAAGACAAAGGAAGCCTGTGAGCATTACCTTTGTTCAGCACAGTCCTGAATGTCTTAGCCAGTAGTGTAATGAGGTAGGAAACAGAAATGAAGAATAGAAATTGTAAAGGAGAGACAAAACAATTTTATATTTTCTTGTACAGATGTTATTAATGCATACAAAGATAATACAAAAAATCAATAAGTGTTCAGCATAGTTGCTACATATAAAAATTGATAGGTTTGCCCAGCTGGTGTGGCTCAGGGTTGAGCATCGACCCGTGCACCAGGAGGTCGCTGGTTTGATTCCTGGTCAGGGCACATGCCCAGGCTGTGGGCCAGTTCCCCAGTGGGGGGCATGTGGGAGGTGGCTGATTGATGTTCTCTCTCATTCATGTTTCTCTCTCTCTCCCTCTCCCTTCCTTTCTCTCTATAATCAGTAAAGAAAACAAATTGATAGGCTCATGTACACCAATGATAACAGTTTAGTAAATATAATAGAAGAAAAAGTTCCCTTTACAGTAGTACTAATCTATAATACAGGAGTGGTTTATAGTTGTGAGTACATGAAACAGAGTTTATTCTTGTATTATTATTTATTTATTAATTGTTGTATTATTTATTATTATTAAACTACTTTCGCCCACTCCTTTATATCTAAGAATGAGCACAGTCTGCACAGTCTGTTATGTAAAACCTGAAGAAAATTACAGAACGTTATTGTTAGCTATAAAACACATGAATAAATAAGCTTTCTTTAAGAATGGGATGTTATACATCTGTAATGTTTTGTTATTTTTTTAGATAAAAATGTTTTAAAGCAACATGTGACAAAATTTTAACACCAAGTCAATATTCAATAATAAATGATTGAAACGGTATATAAAAGGACTTTTACATACTATGAAATATTTTTCAGCTATTAAAAAGAATGAATTGGAGCTAGGTTACTTTATATGGAGGGATTTTCAAGAGTTATTGCTTAGTGAGGAAGACAAGATGCAGAAAAATTTGTCCAAAGTGATCCTTTTTTTTTTATAATGACATGAATGAGTATGTACATATATGATATACTTGTATATGACCATGAAAAAAACTAGGAAGGATCATTCCAGGCTGTTAACATGGGTTGGGAGTGAGGTGATAAAGAGAGGAGAGGAGGAGTGGGGAATGGGAAGCCAAGCCACACAGAAAATAACAAAGAAACTGCACTACCTTATCATGGATGATATAATTTTATTTATATACTAACATAATTATATATACATGTGTGTATGTACACACATATACATGCACATTTTATATCTATATAATTTTTAAAAGAATACAGAACCACTTTAAGAGTGAGAGCTGACCTAAGGGGAATTGAGTGTATTTAACTGGAGCCTCTGGTGGAAATGGAGTTAGCAAATTGCCAACCAGTATGCAAACTTCAACCATACTTTAAGGAAAGAATTACTTGATGATATATTCTGTTGCTAGAGTGTTTAAACAAATGATGCCATTAAATTACAATGATGCTTTCCCCGTTTTTCTCCCTTTTGTATTTATTGAAGTAATTGACTTACTAATTTCACTGAGTTCTTCATAACAATATATATAAAGTACTCACGATGTGCTAGGTGATATAAAACAGTGGTAGTAAAAGTTATAATTGTATTCTATGAAATGGAACTTTTCAACAGGGACACTTTAGATCTTAATTTTTTTTTAACTTGTGAGAGAATAATGAATGAGTCTTTATTTTTTTAGGCCAGGCCTAGGCCTAAATACAGACAGTTCAAGATTATGGAGAATTTTCTTTGAAATTTTCACTTTTTTCTTTCAGCGTGCGGGATGACAGAATTCGAGTAGAAAGGATGGATAACATGTGTTTTGAATACAGCCATGCTTTCCAGGTGGTTACAGAGTTTTATGCAAAAGATATAGTTGATGTCAAAGGTAAATATTATATACATGTTATTTATATGTCTGCACATTTAACTGAGTTGAGGTTTGGATAAAGGTGCAAGTTGGACTTTCAGTTTAATAAAAACTTGTTACCAATGCATAACTGGAAGAAGTAGAGGGGAGAGTTTATTGTTCTTGCGCTCATCAAAAACACTACTGTAGTACTTCCTTTGTAGTTATCACTGTTTAGTAATTTGATGTTTTTGACATATTCATTGGTGTGTAAGGAGTTACTTGCTGACCAACTGTCCTTCTTGTTCTACTTGAAAGATGGCCCATTATTTTTCCTTGAAATTTTTTACATTTATTTTTTAAATATGTTTTTATTGATTTTTTTAGAGAGCGAGAAAGGGAGTGATAGAAATATGATGTGAGAGAGGTACATTGATCAGCTGCCTCCTGGGCGCCCCCTACTGGGGATTGAGCACGCAACTTGGGCATGTGCCTTGACCGGGAATTGAACCAGGACCTCTCAGTCCATGGATGACGCTCAGTCCACTGAGGCACACTGGTTGGGCTTTCCTTGCAGATTTATAGAATGTTTGGATAAATCTTTTTTTTTTTTTTTTTTTTATCCTCACCCGAGGACATTTTTCCATTTTTTGCACAGATAGAGTGGGAGGGAGAGAGAGGAAGAGAGATTGAGAGAGAAACATTGACGTGAAAGAGGCACATCGAGTGGCTGCCACCCGCACGACCAACCAGGGCCGGGGACAAACTGCAACCGAGGTACATGCCCTTAGCGGGAACCGAACCCGGGTCTCTCCGGACTGCAGGCCGATGCTCTAACCTCTGAGCCAAACCGGCCAGGGCTGGATAAATCTTTTGATGAAGGTTAGCATTTCAAAAGTTTGATTACCAGAATTTTAATACGAGAACATTAATGACAAGGTCTTAATATGTTAGGTAACCATTATTTGTTTAATTGCATTTCTGTAGCCAGGTGTCAGTGCTTACTTTGGTCTGGACCCCACACTCCTGCCAGTCCAACTTACGTTAAGGTCTGTTCTTGCCCCTTGTCACAGGCCGCAGAGCTTTCACCGTTAGCCCACAGATGGATCAGCCTCCCCCAGCTCCCTCCCGGGCACCAATGTCTTGCTAGCATTTCTCTCCCCGTCCTTTTAATCTCATGGTGCCTTGACCAAGTTGAATTGAGTGTCCACAGATGTAACCCACTTATGACACCAGTTTGCAGTATCACCGAGGGATCATTGTCTTATACTTAACTGAAGACAAGTCAAAGTCACAAGGCTACCATGTCACTTTTGGCATCAGATCACTTAGAAGGGTTTAGAACAGAAAACCTAGCTTGTTGGCGGGGCACGTTCTCCCCTTGGTGGGAACAGTGCTCAGCAGTTTTCCTAGCAGTTCTCAGAGCCATTGGTGCTGGTTTTCCCTCTGCTGGTGCCAGCTCAGCTGCAAGGAAAGCAGACTCTCATGAGGTGGGTGCAGGGTCCGCCTGGCTCAGAAGCCCCAGGTCCTGCGGAACCCATTTCCCGTGCTGGAATTTCTACAAAGGACATACCAAGTTGAAAGAGTCAGTGTACTCTCAGGGAAGGCCAAATTTCTGGAATCAGGTGTTTATAGTTCCTCCTAGTCCAGGTACAGTTTACTGATTTCAGGTCATTTTTACCATATGCAGTGCTACTTCATAACGCACTGGCATTTCATCTTTATTGGGTTTCCTGGGAAACAGAGCTAGTAAGTTAAAAGAAGATGAAATTCTCAGAAGAGGGTGAAAGGTTTTTAACTCTTCATTTATGCCTGATTTTTATACAAATCTATAATTGAAGTTAATAAGATATTTTGTATTACTGGTTTGTAGAGCATATGTTATAATATATTTTTTTTTCTAAAAGTAATAAATGCCTATTGCAAAAAAAGTCAAAACATAGTTGTGTTTAAAGAAAAACGTAAAAGTCCCCCCTCAAATCCTTATGAGTCTTTTTATGTACAAATTCTCATATATACACATAAACATACATATGTAATTGTGTGTGTTTGTTTAATTAACTTGAATTTATTCTTTCAACTAATTTTTATTGAATGTTATGTGAGGCATTGTGCATGGAATAAGGAATAAAACAGACAAAAAGTCCTGCCCCTTTTGGAGTTTATATTCTGAGGGGAGAGGTACAATAAAATAAGTTAGTGTATTTGAAACTGATAATTGCTTTTAAGGAAGTAAGGCAGAGAAGAGGGTGAACATTTATTTTTTTATTTATTTTTTATTTTATTTTTTGTTAATTCTTACCTGAGGACATTTTCCATTGATTTTTAGATAAGAGTGGAAGGGAGAAAGGGAGAGAGGGGGAGAAACATCGATGTGAGAGAGACACATCGATTGGTTGCCTCCTGCACGACCCCCACTGGATCCAGGCATTGAACCTGCAATCCAGGCACGTGCCCTTGACTGGGAATTGAACCCGAGACCCTTCTATCTTTAGGCCAATGCTCTTACTGCTGAGCCAAACCAGCCAGGGCTATTTTTTAATTTTTAAATTAGGTTTACATTCAATATTATATTAGTTTCAGGTATATAGCATAGTGGTTAGACATATAACTTATGACATCATCCCCCAATCAGTCTAGTGCCCACTTGACACCATATATAGTTATCACAGTTTTATTGACTTTATTTCTTTTTTTTTTTCATTAATTTATTTTTGTTACATATGTTTCTACTTTTTTGCCCACTGATTCCCCCCTTCCCCTCCCTCCCCGCCCTGTCCCCAGCTTGGTTGTCCATGTCCATTGTTCATGCATACATGCATATAAGTTCTGTGGTTTATCTCTCCCCCACCACCCCCTCTTCTGGGGATTGTCAGTCTGTACCCCATTTCCACATCTCTGGGACTACCTTGTTCCTCAGACTGTTATGTTCATTATATTCCACAAATAAGTGAGATCACACGATACTTGTCTTTCTCTGTTTGGCTTGTTTCGCTTAGGATACTACTCTCCAGGTCCCTCCATGTCGTCTCAAAGGATAAGAGATCTTTCTTTCTTACAGCTGCATAGTACTCCATTGTGTATATGTAACACAGTTTTTTTATCCATTCGTCTACTGATGGACATTTGGGCTGTTTCCAGATCTTAACTATTGTAAATAGTGCTGCTACAAATATGGGGGTACATATATTCTTTCTGAATGGTGTTTCAGGCTTCTTAGGGTATATTCCTAGAAGTAGGATCACTGGGTCAAATGGAAGTTCAATTTTTAATTTTTTGAGCTAACACCATATTGTTTTCCATAGTGGCTGCACCAGTCTGCATTCCCACCAGCAGTATACCAGAGTCCCCTTTTCTCCACACCCTCGCCAACACTTGTTGTTTGATGATTTGTTGATGGCGGACATTCTGACAGGTGTGAGGTGATACCTCATTGTTGTTTTAATTTGCATCTCTCTCATGATTAGTGACGTTGAGCATTTCTTTATATGTCTCTTAGCCATTTGTATGTCTTGTTGGGAGATGTCTCTGTTTAGTTCCTCTGCCCATTTTTTAATTGGGTTCTTTGTCTTCCTTTTGTTGAGTTTTATAAATACTCTCTATATATTGGAAATTAACCCCTTATCTGATACATCATTGGCAATTATGCTCTCCCATACAGTGGGTTGCCTTTCCATTTTGATGATTGTATCTTTTGCTGTGCAGAAGCTTTTTAGTATGATGTAGTCCCATGTGTTCATTTTCTCCTTTGTTTCTGTTGCCTTAGGGGATGTATCAGTGGAAATTCTGCTGCGTATGATGTCTGAAATTTTGTTGCCTACAGTTTCTTCTAGGATTTTTATGGATTCATGAGTCACATTTAAGACTTTTATCCATTTTGAGTTTATTTTTGTGTATGGTATAAGCTGATGGTCTAGTTTCAATTTTATGCATGTAGCTGTCCAATTTTCCCAACACCATTTATTAAAGAGGCTGTTTTTACTCCACTGTATGCTCTTGCCACCTTTGTCAAATATTAATTGAACATATTGCCTTGGGTCCATTTTTGGGGTCTCTGTTCTGTTCCACTGGTCTATATGCCTGTTCTTGTGCCAGTACCAGGCTGTTTTGATTACAGTGGCTTTGTAGTATAACCTGAAATGTGGTAATGTGATCCCTTCTACTTTGTTCTTCTTTTTCAAGATTGCTGTGGCTATTCGAGGTCTTTTTTGGTTCCATATGAACTTTTGAAGTATTTTTTCTCGTTCTCTGAAGTATTTGACTTTATTTTTTAAACTCTGCTTTGCATCTCCATGACTATTTGTAACTTAATTTGTACTTCTTAATCCCTGAGGGTGAATTTTTGAATAGGGTGGTGAAGGAAGGCTTCACTGAGAAAGTGGCCCTTGAACAAAGATGTGAACAGAGACTGAAAGAGTTAAGGGGGGGAGCCATATGATTGTGAAGGAGCAGAGTTGCAGGCAGAGACAGCAGTAAGCACAACATATCTTCAGTGCCTGGTGTGCTTAAGGAGTAGCAGGGAGCCTGGGTGCTGGGGCGGAGCAACTAAGGGGAAAATGTTGAGAGGGGAGCTCAGAGTTAAAGAGGAGATGGAAGGCAAGGTGTGCAGGGCCTTAGAGACTTAAGGACGTGAGCATTTTCTCAGGGAGTTGTGGGATATTGGAGGGCTTTGTATCAAAGTAGTCTAATGATTTGATGTACATTTTTAAAAAGGATTCCTTTGGCTGTTCTATTAAGAATACCCTAGAGGGCACAGGGATGCACTGAGAGACCAGATGGAAAGCTGTTGCAATATTCCTGCTGAGAGATGAGAATGATCATACAACTTTTTTTCCCTCAATCAGCAATACGTTTTGGATAGTTTTTCATATTAATCTACATAGCAGTAAGCCATTTCTATTATTAGGTGTATAATAATCTGGACTTACCACTATTTAACTATTGCTCTATTGATATTCAATTAGGTTGTCTCTAGTTTTTTACTATTACAAAAGATTTTTCAACTCACTTCCTTGTTTATACATCTTTGACATACATTATGGAGTATTACCAGGTAAAGGAGATAAGCATTTTACATTTTGAAAAAGTGGCTGTATCGCTTTACAAAAACTCTTATTCAGCCATCAGACAATGCCCCTTTTTCTATGCACTGTGCACTTATAATCATCTGCATTGTCCAGAAGGCAGTTTTAGGAAATATTGTCTAAACTATTATATCAATAGCCATAAACTAAATTTTATTTAACTTAAAATTTGTTTTTAATAATGGTAAATAATAATTCTAAAGAAGGTATATATTCTTTTTTTAGGTTCTCAAAGTCTTTCTGACATCATTAAGTTGGAGAAGACTGTGATTTGCTCTTTGGCTGCCATAATAAGATACCTCAAAGAATTTAACTTGGCAAAGGTGCTTTCCAAACCCAAGTAAGTGATTCCTCAAAAATAATGAGGGTGGGCTTATATTAACAACATCTCTTGAATTTGGTAAGTATTGTACTCAGAAGTTTACTTGCTATTGATAGAACATTCTATTCAAGGGCAAGGATGAAACATGTGGTATTGTTCCTGAAGAATATTAAATATACTAATTGATATGAAAATATTGATAAAATCCTTAAGAATTCCATCAGTATGTATTCATCATAACTATTTAATGTAGTATAATTTTGACTACAAAATGGTGCTTTATTCTAAAGCACAGTTAATTGGTAAGTAGTAACATGAAGTGGAATTAAGAAGTGGTATTAAAAAGCATTCATAAAATTTCACTGCCTTTCTGATTCTTGGTTTCAGTTCTTATTTCATAGGCCATAAAATTAGAGACAAAGGGAACATTTAAAAGAGTGATTAACTTTGTAGAGTTCAGAGATTTAAAAGCTGGCAAGTGACATTCTAGGAAAATGCTAGTTTAAAAGCCAATGGATGATGATTAGTGATGCTCAGAGTTCAGTTTTCTTTTTATTAATTTAATTTATTTTTTTACTCCTTACCCAAGGATATGTTTAGAGAGAGGAAGGGAGGGAAGGGAGAAACATTGATGTGAGAGGGAAACATTGATTGGCTTCCTCCTGCCTGCGCTCTAACGGGGGATTGAACCTAAAACCCAGGCATGTGCCCTGATTGTGAATTGAACCCACGACCTTTTGGTATATGGGGCGACACTCCAATCAACTGAGCTATCCGGCCAGGGTAGAGTGCACTGTTCTTGTTTTGATAGGACAGGTGTGCACTGGCAGTAAATGAATAAATAAATGTTGAGGTACAGAAGTATGGTGGTGCTTGGCATGCCGAACAATGTGCACACCGCTGAGTTGTAAGTGTGTGGAGTGGTCCTGTGAAGCTCTGTTGCCACTACTCAGCTCTCCATTATAGTGTGAAGGCAACTGTAGACAATACAAATAAATGAGTGTGGTTGTAAAAAAAAAATACCAGTGGAATTAAAAGCGGTAGGGGGATGGTTTTCTTGCCTTTCTGTGTTCCACCTTCGCCAGTCCCTGTTCTTTGGTTCTGTAAGCAGTTATCCTCCATCATATTGATCCTGGATAGGTAAACTGCTTCCTGCCCTCCAGAGGTGGGTGGACAGATAGGGGCTATCTTAGTAAAATGGCTGAGTATGAATCAAGGAACAAAGGTAGTGCTGGTTTGAGGTTGCTGGAGAGAGCGGAAGAAAGGCAGGTCCCTTGGGAATCTTTTTGTAATGTCTTTTTCTGGTGTGTTCTAGTATGTGATATTTAGGATAGAACAGAATATCATTTCTCTGGAAATAGTTTTGTCCTGTTGAAAAGCAGTCTAAATGTCCATCAACAGGAGAGTGGGTTCATTGTGTTATATTCATGCAATGTAATGTTATACAGCCATGAAAATGAATGGACTAGAGTTACATGTATCAGTATTAAAAAAAAATTATTAGCATTATATTGAGCCAAAAATCCAATTGCTGAAGGACACACAATACAGATCATTATATGAAGTCAGGAACATCTGAAACTTTTACTTGAGGATACATACTTGAGGATACATTTTACTTGAGGATACATACATGTATTGAGAAGGTATAAAGACATGCGTGGGAATGAGCAACAACAAATTCAGAAGAGTGGGGGTGGAGAGGAAATCATAAAGGTTGGTGGGGAAACGGCTCAGGGAAGTTCTGGTTGATGTTTATTTTTTAGCCTGGCTACTCTATTATTAATCTATATATGTTTTATATGGCTGAAATGTTTTATTAAAAAAAAGTAGCAGCCTGGCATTATACTTCATGGGTTCCACTTTAAGATTCAGTAATAGGAATGGTTGATGGTGTTGGATCTCCATAAGGAAAGGATGACAAGCTATCTGCCATTTTCTTGTTCATGACGGGGAGCCTGTAAATAAGTGAGGTGGAACTAGTGATGACAGCTTTCCCATGACCAGGGGAGTACTGAAAACACCAGGGGGACATTGGGTCAAGTATGTAATTGTCTAACCACAAAACTATACACCTAAAACTAATACAAAATAATACTCAATGTAAACAGTAATTGAAAGACATACAAAAAATTTAAAAAAAAGATTTGTTTCTGTCCCTACATCACCCAGCAATGAAGTATTAATATTGAAATAAGAAAACTGGCTTTTTCTAAAATCAGGCTCTCGTGTGTTTAGAAGTGGATGAATTTGGATCTGAAAACATTATTGTGTCCTCCTCATATGTAGTTCAAAGTAAAAATAATACTAAATACTGAAACATAAAATGTTTATTTGTACTGAAATTAAAATAGCTTATTTAAAAATGACCTGACTTGATACAGTGAGTGCAGCTGAACTTATATTGGTGGTGGGGTTGGGGAGGGGACGGGGAACTGGATCTGCTGGTGACTTGGCATGTGTCTTGTCTGTCTGTTGGGTAACCCCCTCCTCTAATTTCTGCAGAGCCAGACAAAAAAGATATAAAGACGTCCAAAATGTTAGGCCCTCACACTTAATAGGCAGTCAGTAAATACAGGATTAATGAAAAAGAAAGAAGGACTTCTTCAACCTGTAATCATGAGCTTGATGAGAAATTGCAAAAATGTCCTTGGGAGCCAAGATTAATGAATAAAGATCAAAATGGTACTTTTTTTTTTTTGCTTAAAAACGAAATGTGAGTGATAATGTTTTATGGGTGGCATGTAATTAGACTCTGAATATAATTCCCCAAGTGTAATTCCACAGTTCTTATATCTTGGAAAATTAATGTAGCTTCTCAGAGTGATTGCTGGAAAACATGAATGTTCTCCTGTATTTAAAATTCAGTTGTATTACTTTAAAAGTTCAGCAGCATAAGGTATGATTATATTTACTTCAGGAGCTATGTGATTGGTGGAAAATTCAGTGGTGGTATTTTTTTGCAAATTCTTTTACACAAGTTGCTGTATATTACACAGAAATCTTGATATACATTTATTTAAAGGTCTTTGTACCTTTACAAAGATTGTTGGAGGAAAATATACCATCTCAGGAATTGTTCTTAAGGATGGAGTGAGGTTTTATTAGGGCAGATTTTGCTTTGTGTCCTTTCACTGTAATAAATCAGAGTTGATTGAATACATGCTGAGTCCTGCAGATCCTCAGTGAGTCACTGAACCTGGCAGTCATTTGGGGACTGTTACACACCTTTCTTTTTATTTTCCTTTCTGATATGTTTATTGGAAACATTTAGGAATGAAAAGATATTTATTTTGTTTAATTACAAATCAAGTAGAAGTGAAGCTACAATAAAATGAACTTTGTAATATAATGTAATTTATAATAATTTCATAAAGTTAAATTTATAATAATTAAATTAACTATGAAAACATTAAGCAAATGGTAAATGTATGACCTCTGAAAACTCTACATAGAGAGCTGTTTTCCACTATTGATTTCATATGTAACATGGTAGGTTTTTTTGGTCTTTGTTTCCATTTAAAAATAATATTTAAATAAGATCTTTAAAGGGGTTGATCTTTCAGATAAGGTCCGTACCTTTACCGCCTCTGTCTAATTCAGAAAGATGGCTAAATGGCTTTTCTTTTCTTTTTCTTTTTTCTTTTTAAGTAGTTTAGGAATAATAGTGTCTTAAATTTCTCTGGCAAGTTAGTAGCAAGTATATTTCCTCCCATTTTAAAACCTGAGGAAACAAAATCATCCTTTGTATTTTTGTTGTCTTAAATATTAATGAAGTATTTTCCCATGTTACTTATAATATTTCTATCCAGGTTCACACAGTGTGGATTCTAGCCAGACATTATTTATGAGGTTCATTTTAAAGCACATGAAATTTGGCTTCTTCCAAAATGATAAATAATTCAGAGTTGTTTGAGGATTTCAGATCATTGACCATATACTGATGAATTCCTAAGAATGCCGGCAGATTCAACCCTTAGTTAGAAAATGTATACAATTTCCAATGGAAATAGGATGACAGAAGGAAATTTCTTTCGTATTTGGTTAGAAGAATTCAAGAACACATTATCAACCAAACATTTGGGAAACCCAACAGCAAAATTGGTTATTATAATTGCTTGATAATTATTGTTCCATAGGGATCAGTATAATTTAATATTGTCCAATGGTTGATCCTTTATTAAAAATCAAGGCAGATATGAGTTTAAAGAAACTCTTTGCTTCTCCCAGCATCCACTTCGAGGTCTGGATGACTTGTTCAGTAATGGCAAAACCCCCAAATAAAAACAAGCAAAAAAAAACATAGCACATCTCATTAACACTGCTAAATGAGAACCTATCCAGACAGACCTCAGAGATATTGTGAGCTTGATTCCAGACCACTGCAGTAAAGCGAGTATCATTATCAAGTCAGCCATAATCATTTTGCTGGTGGAGGGTCTTGACATCAATTTGTAATACTTCATATGCAAATCTGTGCAGCACAGTAAAAGGAGCTAACTTAAACCAATTTGGTTGTTTATAGTTACTGGTTTCCTTTTGATATCGTAGGTAATGGGAGCCCCAGTAATTATATGTAGGTGAGGGCTCTAAGACTCCTCCCCAACCCTCTCTCTACCAGGTTGTAAGTTAGTCCAAACAAAATTCTGTCACACAGATAGATACTTCTTTTTTTTTATCCTCACTCCAGGACAGTTTTTCCATTATTTTTGTTCAGATAGAGTGGGAGGGAGAGAGAGGCTGAGAGAGAGATAAAGAAACATTGATGTGAAAGGGACACATCCAGTGGCTGCCTCTCACACGACCCAACCAAGGCAGGGGACAAACTGCAGCCAAGGTACGTGCCCTTAGCGGGAACCGAATCCGGGTCTCACTGGACTGCAGGCTGATGCTCTAACTGCTGAGTCAAACCGGCCAGGGCCAGATAGATACTTCTTAACAAGCAGGAACAAAAGCAGTCACGTAATCTCTTCTAAAAGCTTCTTGAAATTCTGATTCTGGGTCTTCTTGATATTCTGACAGTACCTTGCTTCAGAGGTTCACTCGAGGCATAGGAGAAGCAGGATTTCACTTTTGGTTGGTGTTAGATGACAAAACCCTCAGATAATTGGTGGAACGGGATGCTTGCAAAATCCTAAACCTAAGACGCTGTTCTTTGGGGAATGGACTGTTGGATTTCCAAGTTTTTGTGAGGGTGAAGGCAACTGAGCAGTATTTCTGGACAGTTCACACATCCTAAGTGCCACTTATTTTATTTTACATTTCTGATGTTCATGGGAGATAAAGGCAGCTTGCTGAGATGTTTTATGGAAAGGCTGCTGGATTACGGGTTCTAGATTAGTCTTTCTGTCATGCCAGCTAAGCACCCCTCTAGAGTCTGTGTCTGATTACAGTACTCAAGTGTTAATTGTGTAGGTTAAATCCAGCTTCCGTGAACAGGGGAAGTAAATGACATATCTAAACTCATGGGAACTGGTTAGGTAGATACCAACTATGAGTTTAGGCTGTTAGCTCTTCCAGCTTGGATTTTTGACCATTAAGCTGCATGAACACCTGTCAGCTTCACAGCCAACCACTGCCTAATTGTTTCTTCCTGGAAATAATGTGTTTTATTACTGACCTTCGGTGTTCACAGACATTTCTGAGCAACGAAAAACAAACCACACTGGCTTCCCTATAGGAAGATGGTACGCATTTGTTGAACATCTACTTTCTGCTAGGCCCTGCAGGTGACATTAGTAACTCTGGCCTCCAAGGAGCTAAGATCTACTAATGAGGAAGCCCAAGAATATAAATTGCTGTAATGCAAGGCAAATTAAGTTATTGAATGAATAACTGCTATAAAAAGGAGAGAAAGGGCTACATACATCCAGTGTCAATCAGTGTTGGAGTTGCTTCCCTCTGAAAATCACCAACAAGTTATCATCCTTGGGAGGCTAGGTCAGATCTGTCGCAGATAAATTACATTGTCAAAGGACAGCATTCAGTTACTAGGCAACATTTCTATTATGCAAGTTATATCTTTTTTAGGGCCCTGGAGCTTTAGTTGGGGAGTCATCTAGAAGTAGAGGCATCTTGCTATGAACACTGGCTTTGGTTTTAGGCTCTGGATCCTGGATGAGGGCTTGTTTCCATAACTGGCTTGGGAAACTGGGTTTTATTTAAATCTTATTACAGCCATGATAAGTGCAGTTAGGCTCGTAATGAAAACACTCATGCTCTCCCTCCACACAGTTTAGTGACCTTGCCATTACGTTTCTTGCCTTGAAGCCATCAAGTCTGTAAGTACTATTGATAGAAACGTCAAAGGCCGACGGGCTTGTAAAGGAAACTGAATCCTGGATCGGTAATGCCTTGGTTAATATGCTTTTTAATGTGAAAGAGTAAAGGACAAAATTGGAATTGTGCATACATTTATTAATCATATTGCAGCTCACTACTCAAGTCTATTTGAAATTTATTGAATTTTTAATCTAGTTTGAGATAGTTACAGGGACATAAGGAGAATGAATTCTTTGAGCTTAAGGAAATAATTTCTGCTACTTTTTCAGTTTTATACTTTACTAAAACATTAGACACACTGATGTGTATTGTTCAAAATAATACTTGTTATTTACTCAGAATAACAAATCAGAATGTTGATTAAAATATGTTATAGGGTTCATCAAGATGACCTCATGCTGAAGAATAAGATGGCCGTTTTAAAGTATCTCGATATATATTTTTGGCCAATTACTTAGTTGTTTCCTGGAGCCACCATACCACCGCATGCTCTGCCAGTGATAGAAAACTGTTTGGCTTTATTTCTGGAAATACATTAAAAAATTGTTGGTAGCATCTTCCTTCCTTGTTCTCGTGTTTGGTTTGAGAGCACTGTCCTTATTTTGCCATCGATCTATTGAATGACACCAGCATCAGTGGGAGATAATATTCCAGTGAATATTCTTTTTGCTCCTTTCATTTTGATTCTCTATCAAAGAACTTACTTTTGTCATAATGTTAGTGGAATATTTCTAGTACCTAAGTTAGTTTTTAAAACTTCTTGATGCACTCACATCATGGCTCATATTTTGTTCTTTTACAGGAATTTTAAACAGTTGTCAAGTGAGATGGAATTTATGACAATTAATGGAACAACGTTAAGGAATCTTGAAATCCTACAGAATCAGGTCAGGTAAACATAAAGGCTAGTTGATTCAAAATGGCTTTGAAGACAAAATTTGTAATAAGGTAGCAGTTTCTTCTTAGGAGTACAGGTGAAGACAATATTGTCTTCAACTGACCACTCTGTTATCTATTTATTAGTTAACAGTGGTAGCACTCTTTTTGGAGAATCAAATACAGTGTAAAAAATACTTCTGTGGGGTTACTTTGGCAGGTATAGAGCTGTCCTTCTTTATGGTTGAAGTAACATTCTCATCCAGATCATTTCTGTATCAAATATGTCTTTGGAAGAGCATCATCTTTGAAAATCAATATGAAGTGGATTTTTTTGTCTGCTTGATTATGTTTTTCTACATACTTGTAACTTTTTCTTGAAATGTCTGCAGTCCTGTTTCATTGTGCAGCATATAAAACAAGTTCCTGTGATGCTCATTTGGACTGTAAGATGCATAATATCTCCCTTTACAAACTTTCATCATTGTTTCTTGTCCTTTATTGATGAATTAGGAAGATAATGAAGTCACAGAAATTATTGCTATCATTTATTAACTTGTCATTTGGTAATGGGAAATGTTATAAAATTAATATTATCAGCAGAGTCATAGAAATAAGCAGTTTCAAGTCATTTGAGTAAGTAGTAGAGAAGCTGAACCATCTGAGTCAAATAGTTTAAAGCTCTTCAGAAACATTTATTACTGTTGTGAACTATAGTAAATGCCAAATTTACTCTCCTGACTCCTGGATTTCTATATTACTAACTCATTTTTTAACGTAGTTTCTCCCTCTTTCAAGCTCTCCTTGTATCCTAGAGTCCACCTTACTTTCATTCAGTCACATTTTTATCTTGTCATTTCATTATCCAGAACTGAGAATCTTTCCCACAAGTCTTTTCCTCACTCTGTATGCATCCCCATGGCGGAACAGGTAGCAGGAATAAAGGACATTCCTTGGATGAAGAGCTCACAGTCAGAGCCCACACACACAGTCCCCTCATTCCACATTTCACTCTGCCACATCCTCCCTGTTCAGTCCTCCTGTGGAGTCAGTTCTGAAATCACATTCCTAAGGCAGAATCATCTGGAATAAAATATCCATTAAAAACCCTTTCATTATCAAGACCTGGGCCCTTGTGGAACAGAAGCTGAGAATGAACATCTGTGTGTCTTTGCACCTCAGCTTTGGCCTCCCTAATGGATGAGCAGGGGAAAGGGGCAACGAGGAGGGCCGGGGTCAGGGAGAGCAGAGGTTAACAGGACTTGGGTTTCCCCCACCTCTCATGTCTGAGCCTGCTTCTGCAGTGATGCCAGGTGATTGGAGCATGACTCCCCTCCACTGTCCTTCTCGGGACCCTACTGCAGCCGGCCAGTCGGACTTTTGTCTGACTCAGAAGGGTGGCTGTTGCTGATCTGGGCCACCCTTGTCTGTCAGCTCTACCTGGCCAGCTCCATCCTCAGGGAATCCTGTCGTTGCCATGTGCTCCGCTTTAACTTCCAAGGCCTGGGGAGCTAATGTCACACCTTTTATTGCTTATTTCTGCCAGGTGGCATCGTGTCCTAATTATGTCTTTTCTCACAAACTTGGATCTAAGTGCCCTGAGGGAGGGAACATGTCTTAGTATACCTTTGCCAGTCATATATCTGAGTACATGGGGAGGTATTCTCTAAGTACCTGCTTGATGATTTGAAGGAAAAGGAAACAGTTGAAATAAAACCACTCAGGTGAAAACTGCAGTTTTATGTTCCAAATAAGATTTAATCTATTAATAGACTTTTTCTAATACAATGAAACCTTGGTTAAAATAAACCATCGTCTCTTGTTAATTGTAAATTTTTTTAATGACTCAACTTTCAAATAGCAAAGTATACACAGATAAACTTTTGCCAGGATTTAAGAGAACAGACTAACATAAAACCCTTCCAGGGCGACTTCGCCAGGGCAGAGCAAGTTCCCGTCTGTCTCCAGTACTTTCTGCTCGTCAGTGCGTCACGAGAGCTTCGGTCCTTAGAACAGTAGTTCTGAGGCAGTGGGAGACACTGAATTGTCTTCACTGTGTTTCCCAAGGCAGGAAAATATATAATTATATTTTCAAGATGCTTAGGACAAACATATATTTCAAAAGAGATTTCTAAATACTGTGTTCTTAGTTAACCAAAAACAACATAATCTATTTTCTGTGCAACATATCAGTACTTTCTGTATATTGTGTGTGTGTATATATGTGTGTATCTTTGTGTGTGTGTGTGTGTGTGTGTGTATACACATATAGTCATTGATCAAATATTAAATGAACACCTGCTATGAGCTGTACTTTATGTTAGGCATATGAAATATTGAAAATTGTGATACATGGAATAATTAGGGCACATGATCAACTAGTGATTTTGGCACAAATACAATTGTCTAATTAATAAAACTTGTTTTCTGGTCTTTCTTAGACTGATATGAAAACCAAAGGAAGTTTATTTTGGGTTTTAGACCATACTAAAACTTCATTTGGGAGACGGAAGTTAAAGAAGTGGGTGACTCAGCCGCTCCTTAAATTAAGGTAAAGGGAAGCTTGTGTGTGTATGTATGTGTGTGTGCGTGTGTTTAATATGAAATTACATAAAGTAGTGAAATTAAGGTATGGCAGCCTCCTTGAAAGCAAGGTCACCAAGACTTACAAGAACAGTTTTAAATAGGGGAAGATTTTATTCTGTATCTGGCAATAGAGTGTCTGATATTGTGAGGATTTTCTCCTTGTCCCCAAGAATGAGCCTGCTTACACATTAGAAGTCATGGGGTGTGTTAGGGAAAGTGGATTATGCCGTTAGTTTGGGTCATCAGTAGCATAAGTGGGCAGGGAGGGAGGGGGCTGGAGAGATGGGGTGCTGCCGTTTGTAGAGGGCTTGGAAGGCTAGGCTGAGGAGTCGTAGCCAGAGGAAGTCAGGTCAGTGATTCTGAGCATGGGAGTGATAGGGTCAGAGCTGGGTTTCTATGTAGGAGGGACAGAGTGGTGGTGGAGGGCAAGTTACCAAGTTCATGGAGAGGTTCTGAGGACTTGAGCCAAGCCAGTGTCAGCAGGAATCTGAAAGAGAGGTCAGGTAAAAGACATTTGGGACAGCAGAATGGGTAACCTGGAGTGCCTTTATTACATACCAGGCACCGTACTAGGGCTTTAAATAGTTTTTAAAAATTTTAAATCCTCAGAGGATATTTTTCCATTTATCTTCAGATAGAGTGGAAGGGAGAGATGGGGGGGGGGGGAAGAGAGAGAGAGAGAAACATCAATGTGAGAGAGGCACATCGATTGGCTGCCTTTGCCGTGACCCTGACCAGGGCCAGGGACCAAACCACAACCAAGGTACGTGCCCTTGACTGGAATCAAACCTGAGACTCTTTGGTCTGCAGGCCTACCCTCTAACCACTGAGCCAAACTGGCCAGGGCTAAATATTTTTTTTATTTTTAGAGAGAAAGGACGGGAGAGAGAGAGAAACATCGATGTGAGAAAGAAACATCGATCGGCTGCCTCCTGCATGCCCCTTACTGGGGATTGAGCCCAAGACTTGGGCATGTGCCCTGACCGGGAATCAAATTGGGACCCCTCAGTCCATGGGACAGTGCTCAGTCCACTGAGCCACACCGGCCGAGTGGTGCATGTCTCTTTAAACTGCACGATAGCCTCACTGTTGGCTGCATTTTATGCTGTGCTTAGTAAATAGTCATCTTCAAAAAAGGATAGCAGATACTGTTATTAGTGTTAGTAGTAAGCTTTAAGAAAATGCTTTTATGATAATGGTGACCAGATCACTTCAGCTTTTAGTGGGTCATTTTGATTTCCCTTCCTGACCATAAAGACCTTCAAACAGGGGAAGCTGACTAGGTAAAGAAGAAATTCTGAAAATGGAAGTATCTATTTGCGTTTAGTATTTAAATGAAATAAGGATACCTCAAGGAGCAAGAGCAGTAGCTTTGTGCAGATGGTGTGTGGACAGCAGCCTAAGGGGTGTTGCATTCTGGGTGCTGGAAAGACATCTGTCTAAGCATTCCCAGCAATTCTTAGTATTTTATGTGCTTGATTAAAATATTCATCAGAAACAGACTCACTAGCAGATGTTTTCATGTAAATTAAAATTTTTATTTCTATTAAGTTTGTTTTGATAACCAGGATTAATTTGAGATGAATTCAGTAGACCGTGTACTATGCTTTTTAGAGACTGGATCATTATCCGTTGGCATCCTAGCATCCCAGAAAGGCTGGGAGAAAATATGCCATGCATTGAACACCGATGCTTTCAAGTGTGAACTTAAATTGGCCTGACACTTACATAGCCAAAAACAAACAGAAAGCTTTTTTTCTTTGCTCTTTTTATTTTAGGTCGTAGTTTAAAAAACTTTCATCTTTCTAATCCTTTAAAATTCACTTCAAAAGAATTCCAGTCAAATCTTAGTGGCATTTACAACCCATTCCAAACAAATATGTGGAGAGAATTTCAGCTGATTAGTCTGTGGGTCAGTCATACATTTATTGGTTTCCCCCCTAAACTCACATAGATAGATGCCTTGCAGATCACACCAATGGTTCCACTCATCCAGGCCAATATTCTGTCTCTGACACTGGCAGCCAAATGTTAGTGTCGGACCAGGTTTTCTTCTTTAGTAAGATCATAGAGCAGATCATTGGTGACAAAGGAATTTAGCAACAGAAAGCAGATCTTCCAAAGTTCTCCAAGAGCGCATTATTTGTCAATCATCCATGAATTCTCTTAAGTCCCTTATGATCTTCTTTATATTTTTAGCCTATTTGAGCTCCCAGGGCAATTCCATAGTTTGTAAATCCAGGACCAGATGGTTCACGTTTCAGAGGATTTTTCACTCCCACCACCTTTTATTCTATAAAATGACCTTCGTGGTGCAGAATTTACTTTTAGGAAGTATAAATGGCTTTTGCCCTGTACTTACTGATTCAAAAACTCCACTTAGATTATTGAGACTGGATTTTACTTTACTGAAGCCACATAATTTATTTTATTTTTTTTTATTTTTTATCCTCACCCGAGGACACTTTTTCATTCTTTGTTCAGATAGAGCAGGAGGGAGAGAGAGAGAGAGAAACATCGATGTGAAAGGGACACATCGAGTGGCTGCCACCCTCATGACCAACCAGGGCCGGGGACAAACCGCAACCGAGGTACATGCCCTTAGCGGGAACCGAACCCGGGTCTCTCCGGACCGCAGGCCAACGCTCTAACCACTGAGCCAAACCGGCCAGGGCGAAGCCACATAATTTTTTATAAATAGGTTATGCTTTTTTATGTGTTGTGATTGATACTTCTGATCAGTTCTGTTAATTGTAGGCAAGAAGGTTTTCCAGCATTGTTCTCTGGCTTCTCCTTATAAACGAATGTCACATTGACAAATCATTAGCCTTAAGGACTTTAAAATTTAAATAAATGATACTGAATTCATTTTTTTCAAGGTTCCATCTTTGAATTTCTTCTCTTTCTTGGAGTTGATATGGTTTTGTCAATCTTTTATGTATATACCATATGTATTTTATTAGTTTGGTAAAAAAAGCCTGAAAATGCAAATTCTGCTTGTAAATGTTGATGAGGGGGCGGGGAGGACTTTGAAAAGTCTGGCATGAGTGTTTAAATGGATTCTTTAGGCAGATATTAATTTCCAAGGCAGATTTGGTTATCTTAAAAGTATTCAAGATTCAGTAGTTTACTCTGTATTTTAAAATATTTAGCAAAAGTTGTGCATTTCCTTCAGGGGTACCTCTTCTTCTGCCTGCACCTTAAATGCCGATGTTACCCAGGATTCTCTTCTGGGGCCGCTTCTTCCTTTCAGCACTACTTAGGATCTTGCCCGTGGCCATGGCTTCTCCCATAACGCACACGCTGCTGATGACTTTGTCACCATTATTTCCAGCAGCTCCTTGCCCATGTTTGCTAGGGCATCTCTGCCTCAGGAAATGTTCAGTTTGAGTGGGCAAAACAGATTGTAAAAAAAGCATTTCCTTCAGTGAGAGAGTGATTTCCTGGAGACACAGCTGTCTGTGTGTGTGCCTGTCTGTGTGTGCACATGCATGTACACATGTACATGTACAGAACAGCAGATTGTTTTCTATTTTTTTAATCCTCACCCAAGGACACACTCATTGATTTTTTTTTTTAAAGAGAAGGGCATGGGGATGAGGAGAGAGAGAGAGAAAGATGGAGAGAAACATCCATAGGTTGCTCTCCTATGTACCCTGACTGGAGATTGAACCCCCAACTTGGGTGTGTGCTCTGACTGGGAATTGAACCTGCAACCTTTTGGTGCATGGGACGAAGTTCCAACCAAGCCACACTGGCCAAGGCCAGAACAGCAGACTATTAGCCATGAAGCAGACTCTGAGAAATGTTTCTCCCCTTCTTTTTTTTTTTTTTTTTTTTATCCTCACCTGAGGATATTTTTCCATTTTTTTTTTTGTACAGATAGAGTGGGAGGGAGAGAGACGAAGGGAGAGAGAGAGAGAAACATCGACGTGAAGGGACACATCGAGTGGCTGCCACCCACACGACCATCCAGGGCCGGGGACAAACTGCAACCAAAGTACGTGCCCTTAGCGGGAACCGAACCCGGGTCTCTCCGGACCGCAGGCCGACGCTCTAACCGCTGAGCCAAACCGGCCAGGGCTGTTTCTCCCCTTCTAATGGATGACTCATTTTCATCAACAATGAAAATGTTGAATCTTTGGCAAGGTGTATCATCTTGCCTTTTTGAAAAATCACTTTTTATGAAAGGCAGTCTGCTGAAAGTCTTCATGAAAGGCTTTTTGTTTATGAGGAATCTACGCATCTTCTTGACTCTGGTCTGGCCCTCCTCTATTTCTACTCTGTACTACCCATAGATTTTTTTTTTCTCATCCGAGGACACTTTTGCATCTATCTTCAGATAGAGTGGGAGGGAGAGAGGAGGGAAGAGAAGGAGAGAGAGAAACATCGATGTGAGAGAGACACATCAACTGGTTGCCACCCGCACAACCCCAAATGGGGCTGGGGACAAACCAACCGAGGTGCCCTCAGCGGGAACCGAACCCGGGACTCTCTGGTCCACGGGCCGACGCTCTAACCGCTGAGCCAAACCGGCCAGGGCTAGATTGTTTTTTTAACGTATTTTTTATTATATTGCTCTTTACCATTTAAATTTTTACAACACACTGAGGCGTACTTTATTTCTGGACCTTTGTATGGTCTGGTGTTTTTTTTTTTTCTGAAGTGGAAACTTCTACTCATTTTTGTTTTCTTCCTAGTTTGCTGGCTGCTGCTTCAAAGTTTCCTTTGCCAGCTTTTCATTCTCTTTGTATCCTTTCAGTGTTGGAGGTCCTGACACCTGAACCCTAGGAGCTCAGCCTTCTTCCTTCCCTTAGCCTCCTCTCTCCTCTTGTCACTGTCTCCTGTCCTTCCCATATGAACTTGTCTGTTCCCAAGGTTATAGATATCAAAATGTCAGTGGTTCTCAAATTTGTATCCCTGGTCCTTATTCTCTTCTATTCTCTAGGCTTATATATTCAAATT